CGTTCCAATTCTTGAGTTGTTCTGAGCCACTTAGTATGCACCTACATTGTTGGCAGATATTCCCTTATCCAACGACGACAGAGCACGCCAGCGAGAAAAACGACCTGTTTGCAACCAGTATGATATCGCGGGGCCAAACCGTTGCGAGCGGGTACCGCAGGACAGCACCGCATGAGCAACAAACTGTTTGGAGCAAACGGCTCCAACTGGTCGCTGGCTGGTGAAAGCGGGTCTATGGGTCGGTTAGTTAGAATCCGTTCTGCCTGTGTAGGGAGCGTGTTCAGTTGTTCATCGGTCAAACACTTTTCCCTGCATAGACATAAAAGGATACGCTCCAACACACCACCAAGGTGGCTAGCTGGTGGTGGATTGAAGTGCCACTGTATATTCATAGTCAAAAACCGATCTGATAATTTACTCGGACCCCACCGCTTTATATCATCCCAAAATTCTGTTAGCGCACCAACAAAGTTCCTACCATTATCACTGTAGATATCGGTGGACTTGCCACGTCTACTAACGGAGCGTACCAAACATTGTAAGAATGAATCTGTCGGCCGGTTGCCTGTCATTTCCAAACGGACTGCTCTAGTCCTCAGACAGCTAAAGGTAGAGCCATAGCGTTTTTCTTGCGGACGGCCGCGTTTGGTATTAAAAGGTTCAAAGTAGTCCACTCCCACGCACTCGAAGGGGCACCAACTTACTCCCACTCTGTCTGCAGGTAATGGAGCCATCATCTGTGTGCCGAGCTGTGCGGACCGTCGCCTGCAAAAGAGCACGCACCAAACACTCGTTTGACGGCGCCGGTCCCATTGATAATCCAAATCGCAGTCGAGTAGTGTCCAAGACCTGTCCCACTCCATAGAGCTTGTCTACTTCATGAAGGTGACGTATGATCAAGGCAGTAACTGGATGTCGGCACCAAAGAGATGGATGTTTGACTGACTGACTGTAGTTCGAGTAACTAAGTCTGCCTCCCACGCACAAAATGCCACCGATCGAAACACGTGAAAATTTTTGTAAGCTGAAATGCTTCGCGTCAAGTACAGAAGCGTTAACCTGATGCAGCTCTTGCGTTAAGTGACTGGAATGAACCTCTTATTAAACAATTACGTGCTGGTCGGAGTTCGGATACTCTGATAACACCGGAAAGTAAAGCCAGTTTTCTCGCTCTGCCCGTCCTGATCAATAGATATTGCCTGTAACGCAGTAACCAAGCCACGACACGTAGCTTCATCCTACTTGAGAACCGAGACATTAGTGGGCAAATGACATCATTTCCCTTCCGTCGGTTAGCCTGTGCTACAAGGCTCTTCAGAGCACCACTATCGCGGGAGTCAATATTGACCTGTAGCAACATCTCTTCGATGTCGGCTGCCACAGCAGGTCGCTCCAAACAAATGTCCAGCATAATATTTACAAGTTTTGTGGTTCAATCAGGGCCCGGATACAGGCGATCGTTCAGGGACACACCATGGCATTTGGCAGCGCGGTCAAATACAATCCGAAGCTTTTCTAGCTTTTTTGGGCTAATAACCGGATAGTGTGGGAGATACCGCTGCTTTGAATTTAATGACAATGTGGGAGTATCTGCCACCCGTCCAACGTATCCTTTCTCCAGGTATGCGCGAAGCACCTTATCGTACTTCCCATGTAGAACACGATCCTTTCACAGTCTAGTTTTCAGATTATCTAGACGTTTTCTAGCCACCTGGAAGTTATCGGGTAGGGCAAGCGCTTTATCTTTCCATGAGAGCGGCAGTTGATAGTGCCCACCTACTCGCACCGCGCCAGTCTCTGCTATTAACAGTGCTCTTTGATCCTTTAAAGAGAGACTAGTGTTCGATGCTGAAGTGTCTGCGAATTCCGAGTTGTTCAGTCGCTGCAAATGCTCCTGGACGTCCTGACTGCACTCGCTTATACAATGACTGACGACCTTCTGCTTCGTTCCGT